AGTCAGTCCCTTGAGAGTGTATAACAGCAGAGTCAGTCCCCTCCGAGTGTATTACTGCAGACTTAGTATCCTGTGAGTGTAGTACAGCAGAGTCAGTCCCTTGAGAGTGTATAACAGCAGAGTCAGTCCCCTCCGAGTGTATTACTGCAGACTTAGTATCCTGTGAGTGTAGTACAGCAGAGTCAGTCCCTTGAGAGTGTATAACAGCAGAGTCAGTCCCCTCCGAGTGTATTACAGCAGACTTAGTATCCTGTGAGTGTAGTACAGCAGAGTCAGTCCCTTGAGAGTGTATTACAGCAGAGTCAGTCTCCTCCAAGTGTATTACAGCAGAGTTAGTATCCTGTGAGTGTAGTACAGCAGAGTCAGTCCCTTGAGAGTGTATTACAGCAGTCAGTCTCCTCCAAGTGTATTACAGCAGAGTTAGTCCCCTCCGAGTGTATTACCCGTTGGTGAAGGGGGTCTTTTCACAGCTACCCCCCCCCATTTCGAACCATGCACAGGCCCAGGGTGGACCTGATCAGCGCCATGGAGAGCCAGGCTGAGCCCTCAGAGCTGGAGCTGGACGATGTGATCATTACTAACCCCTACATCAAGGCCATCCTGGAGGAAGAGGACTGGATGGAGGACGCCTCGTAGGTCTATCAAAAACAGAGAGCAAGATCAGTCCTATAGCCATGTCTCATTTCCTGCTATTTCCGTCTTGATTGGGTATTTTTTTTTCCAGCATTGTCCAATATTTCCCATCGGTGTTCTTCAGGTTTTTTACAAGCTGTTGTTAGTCTTAGTCCTCTTAGTTAAAATAACACTTTTGTTTGTTTCAGTGGGCTGATGTCACATGGCATTGCCGTCTTAAAGGTAAAGTTACAATGTTCACTTTAACTTAATGCATAAAGGGCCCTGGGTGAATCTCAATATGCGTACTTGACCATACTTGTGTTCCTGTGTACCTGTTTTAAGTCATCTTCCATCGCCGACGATCAATTCCAATACTAAGAACAGAGTATAAAGGATGGTAAAAATCCCCGGTTGTTGGTCTTACTCCTCCCCAAATATCAAGGATACATCAGTCGCATCGACGCCAAACGAAACCAATCCCATGATTCATTGCACCCCAAGTTCATTCTTGGAAGGCAAGTCAGCAAGAATGTTCTTGCCAAGACCACAAGTACGGTCTTTGCGTTCTTGTTATTGAGATTCACCCAAGATATGCTCAGTGGATTATAGGGATTGTTGTGTTTCCTTCTTAGATATGCCACACCTTGACTGAGAAGCTGGTGGCCATGACGATGGGCTCAGGGACAAAGGTCAAGGCCCCGAACGGCCTCAGTGACATCATCACCGTGGCCAAGCGTATTAACCCCAGGTGCGAGAGTGATACTGTTTAACAAAACTGGCCATTTTTTAGCAATAAGGTAATATTCATTTGTCCTGTTGGATTTCCTGTAGGGTGGATGATGTTGTGCGAAGCATGTATCCACAACTCAGCCCAGTGCTACTCGATGCCAGGTACAGTAGAGTAAATGTGTACAAAAAATACATTTTAAAGTTACATTTTTAAAAGTATCTTTAAAAATCCTTAATTTCTTAAAGTGTAAGCATTCCTTCTGTTAAAAATCCTGAGTGACTTTTATATTACATATTAAACAAACAATCTGTTTGTAGTGCTGAAGATATCAGCATTTGGTTTGGTCTGGGAATAAGCAGCGATTCTCCAAGGATATTGTTATATTCATTCATTTCCATTCATGACAGATTTTCTCGGCCGCTGTTGAATCTCACCCCCACAGAGCCACCGCCCTGTTCCTGTCCGTCAGCCACCTGGTACTGGTGACCCGCCATGCCTGTCACATGTCCGGCAACCTGGACTGGATCGACCAATTGCTGCGCACGGCTGAGGGTCACATGGTGGCGTTGCGGGAGGCGGCATTGGCGTCCGAGACTGACCGCATGCAGCTGGGAGCGGAGGCTGTGCAGCAGGAGCACACCATCTGACCTGCACCGCGCGTGCATGCGCACGCACGCACGCACACACACACACACACACACACACACAGGTCCTTGTGGGGACTCCCCATTCATTTCTAAGGGGAAAGCTCTAATCACAACATGACAACCTTAATCCCTACCCAACCTTAACCATAAGTAACCAAACAAAATACGAGACTTATTTTTTGATTGCATTTACAGAACTTTGTGGGGACCTGAAAAAATGGTCCCCACAACCTCAAAATGGCAGGTTTTTATTACATTGTGGGGACCATTTGGACCACACACACACTTTGTATATATAGTATATTCTGCACATGAATTAAGACTAGCTTGAATCACATTATTACCTACCTATTTACAGTAATACATCTCTGCGATACCTAACCCACAGGCATCACTGCCAAAGGCATCACATACAGCTGTTCTAAGCACCAAACACCAGCTTGCTTCGCGTCTAACTGACAATGCCACACTCTGGCTTCCTAAAAGCCTAAAAACCACGGCGATTCCCAACCACCCCACAGTCTCATTTACAAGGACGACGTAGTAACGTGCATTTCCTAATCGGACCCCCTGGGTTTTGTGACATTAATTCACCACCAAACCTGGCATCACAGACTATGAATTCATGGTACTGTGGCGATTTACCCTCCTACCGCATTTGGGGTGTGAAAATATATTGAAAATCGGTTCACTAATCTGACCTCTTCCAAAGCAGCCACAAATTATTCTACTAAAAGATAGAACAGCCACCTGCTGCTGGGATTGGTCATAGACAAGAGACCTGATGAATATAAACATAGTTGTTCTGTCCTGAAGGGAGCTTACAGGTGACCCACAACAGGCCTTTTGACCCTTAATTCCGGAATTTCTAGAAGTTCCATTTGGCTCATGCTGTCCTGGCAAACGTAACAGAAATCCGTCACCATGCCAGTCAGAGTCACGTGTCCAGGATGGCCAGGTCAGGAATGGTGGGTCTTCGCCAGGACCATCCCAGCAAAAAGGGCGGAAGTCCATTACCAGACTATTACACCAGCGGCATCAGATTCTATGGGATCTACTGAACACTCAGGAAGCAGTCGTCACAAACATCGTGGGATGAGACTGATGTTCCCGCCTCTTTCATTCCAAATGCAGCCGGCAGGCAAAAGACTAATTAAGGAGACGGAAAGTGGGCATGACGTCCCCTGTCGAAAACATTCAGAGCCACGGTCCACAGCTTCGAAGCTTTACATTCCACAAGGTCAACCAGCGAGAACCCTGAGAAGCCTTGTTTGCACCTTTCAATGGATCCTGCTGTGATTCAGATCAGAGGGAGAACATCATGTCACGATTGAAATGACATTGGAAAGAACTCCTCCTTTGTTCTTTGATTGCTTCAATATTATATTGACAATGTCCTGCTTTGAGGTGCTCAGCTTCTCTCTTTTAACTGATTTGCACAGATTAAATTGTTTCTTACAAAATACAAGCATTTACCACTCCTCTCCTTTGGAATCCTCCACTGAGTTCAAGATTGACAGTTCAATGGAAAACAGATTTTCTAGGTCTTATGTAACAAAATGAGATGTTTACATACAGGCTGCATAAGGAGAAATTGCAGCAGTTATCGGAGTTGAAAAGCCTGTTTATTTTGGAAAAGCACCTCTTTTCTAATGCCGGCAGAACTTCGGGTACGCCCACACTATGTAGTTTGGTGTGTCAATCAATCCATCCGTTTTTCCATCCATCCATTTTCCATAACTGCTGAGTCACTGCCAGTCATAGTAACCCTGCAGGCTATCCTTGGAAGCACAGAGCACCAGTCCAGTACAGCAGTGTTTTACATCCTGGTCCTTGGGGACCTCAGTCAGTCCACATTTTTGCTCCCTGTCAGTCAGTCCACATTTTTGCTCCCTGTCAGACAGTCCACATTTTTGCTCCCTGTCAGACAGTCCACATTTTTGCTCCCTGTCAGACAGTCCACATTGATGCTCTGTCTAGAGTCCCCAAGGATCAGGTTGAGAGACACTGCACTCCAGGACATGGTCACCAAAACCACACTCCAGATACTGGAGAATGCTGAGAACATCACAGGGAAAGCATTCAGACTGCACACACAGAACCAGGGCAGGAACTGCACTCCTGAGGTCAAACTGCTGCCCCCTATTGTCAGAATCATCAGTGCAACATGTAGAGCTTTGACAATATGTATTTTTTAGTTCTATATATTTTGTATGGAAATAAATTTCATTTATTAATTCACATGTATCAACTTCATTCTATTTGGTTACATTAATGATGAGATTATTTTGAAAACTGACAAATTTTATAAATATATTATGTTTGTAAAATATAAATTAACCATACAGTTAATCTGAACTATTAGAGCTACACAGAAATGCATACACAAGTCTGAACCTTGAAAATTTACACATTATTTCTTTGAAAAGCTACAGATTTTTAATGTAGTATCGAATAAGGTTCGTTGGAGTTTAAAGAGATAAAAGGACCGTTGGGATGAGAACAAGCTGGTGGCGGATCTGTTAAAGACGTGTCACTTCAGGATCTTCTGCCACGGCCATGTGTGTGGAGCAGCCGTTCGTCTGACCTGCTTCCTCCCGAGACCAGAAGTTCAGAAAACAAGGTAGAAAAGAAGCTGGTTCTTTACGCAGTCCTTGGGGACCCACTGACAGTTCACATTTTTGCTCCCTCCCAGCTCCCAGCCAATCAAGGACACTGAATACCTGGTACAGGTGTGCTGCAAGATGGAAGGGAGCAAAAATGTGAAAAGGACTGGATTAGGAAACACTGCTTTAAGCTAGTGGGGGACCTTGATTCTAAGCTCACGGGCCGTGCAAGTGGCCGCGCTTGGAAACAGTCACTGATCACCAGCAACTGCCAGAAATAATCAGCTTGATGAAAGGGTGGTGAAAGAAGCCAAAAAAATAACAAGAGACTCTTTATAACAAAGGCTCAGTTATACACTGTACATCTGAACCTTCTTCGTTAACTAGAAAATGTGCCTCTTCCCCAAAGAATAAAAAATACAAAAGTGAGTGGTCTTCTATGCTAAATATTTCTTTAAACGGACATATGCCACGACAGTATATTTTGGCTCTTTTTCAAAAGAGACCTTCGCTTTTCTTCTGCTGGGTTTGTTTCCAGCTCTGGAGAGAGTCGACTGCATCGCGCCTCGCCTCCAACACCGTCTGCGAGAAACAGGATTTTTTTTTTTTTTAATAACTGGATGCCGTAAATGGGAACATCCTTCAAAAAGACTGTCAAATCATTTTATAACTCTTCAGTTACCAAAAAAAAGCCAGTGAGAGTCATATGAAATATAGCATTAAATTCTCATGGCTTCCGGTATATCAGTGGTATTTCAGCTGTGCAGTTATTAGTTACGATATAAAAACCAAGGCTACCGATCTCAGCAACAGCGATTAATGGTGGGGATTTGATGCATGGATTTAGGAGTGCATGCATGCACAAACACAGTGCTGTATTTTAGAGCAAAGATTGTCAGGCAGAAAGGACCTCTGATCTGAAGGATGGCTATAGATATTGTATAGAGTGGTTGCAGGATCCTGCCTGGAAGTCTTGGACTGGGTGGGGATCCCCTCCATTGGCTTGTGGCCTGTCAGGTGGCTCTTCCCCCAGGAACTGGGACTTGCTCAGCCTGGCTAAAGCGTCCCGCACCAGCGTCACCTTTCCACACAGCACCTCCCCCTGGCCACAGGAACAAACTGCTCTGAAATCCCACACGCAGGGCTGCCAAACACATCGACGACCACTCCTGCCCCCTGGGGACTTGTGTCGTACCTGCAGCTCCGGATTCCTTTCCCATTGGGGAAAGATGTTGGTGAAGGTGAGGGGTTCTGAACCCTCCTGAATCAGGTACGCCTCCGGGGGGCGCTGCGGGTTGCGCTCTGAAAGGCAGAAATCCACGAAAGTCACTCTGTGAGCTTGAACATAACCAGCACCTTCTTAACCATTAACAAGAAAAGCGGGGGGCAGATCAATAGCAATTAAAGCAGAGCCCCCACCAACACCCTGACCCCTGACCTTTGCAGTACTGAAGCACCGTCTTCATGGCGCACTTGCGCTCCTCGTCCCAGCGGACGGGCACCGAGCCGGCACGACCCGCTTCACTCGCCCCCCCACTTTGCCACAGGTACACCTCCATGCTGTTGTCCAGGAGGAAGAGGGCTGGGGATCGGAGCACAAAAAGCATGAGGGCCGCACAGCAGACATCACGACGGGCGGAGTGTGGCGCGGCGGATAAAGAGCCGTGGTTGGTCTCCGGTGTTTGCGCCTTGACTGCCTCCAGGGTTCCCCTGATGTGCGTCAGAGCTCAAGCTTTGGCAGTGTGCATGCTTTTCTTTAATAACTGATCCCTAAAAAACAGCAAATGCTTTTTTGCTTTACGACTTCCATCGGATTCCTTAAAGAAAGCTAAATTGCTTTTGAGTGTTCCTGGGGCACTGGGCTTCAGTAACTGCGTCAACGTGAGCATAAAAAGGAAGCTGATGTGGTGTGTGTGTGTTTGGCGCCGTGGGGGTGTAGCCTCACATGGCTGTGGCACTGAGTACAGGACCTCCTGCAGGAAGGGCGTGGCCACGGCTGTCCCTCCCACGTGGGCGGGGCTTACTAGCTCCACCCCCTTGAAGACGCCTGAGGACGCACTCAGATGAAACAGGCGCGGTATGAAGTTGTACTTGCCGGGATCTGGGGAAAAACAGCAGAGTCCACTACTATCTATACTCAACGGCATTTCCCATAAGACCCCTGTTAAACCCAAACTCAGGGCTATGACCCTTTTATCCATCAAGATTTATCTGGCAGATTCTCTTTACCCAGAGTATGGCACTTGTCACAAACAAGGACATTTCGCTGAGAACTACACAAAAATCTAGACAGGCGAGTTGATACATGCCACAAAATTTGCACACTTTTTTTTATCTCTTTGAGTTACGCACCAACTAAACGGCAGGGATATTCCGTTTTTCGACTTTTTGGTGCCTCTGGGAAAACAAGGCGATTCTATATATATAGGCTGAGTGGGCTGTGTTCAGTACCTCGGAGCATGCAGTCGTAGGCCTTCCTGTCCTGCTGCCCAAGGGCGCGCCAAAACTCAGCTGGCTCCGCCCCCTCTTCTACTTCCTGCACCCGCACCCTGCTGTTGCTGCTCAGACCTAGCTCGGGGGGGCAACTGTCACATAAACACACACACAAACTGGATCAATCCCTTTATATAGTGCAAGGATAGTATAGATCCAACTGAGCACTAGACTGTACCATCAGAGCACTGAAGGGGGGGGGGGGGATTGAGGGAGATACCACTTACACCTGCGTGAGGCGCTCTACAGCCCTCCTGGCTACATCTCGGGTGATGCTGTGGGACTTGCAGCCGTGCCACAAGTACACCGCCCCCTGGTGGGCACAGAGCAGAACAAGAGAACCACGGGACCGCAGGCTAGCACAGCAACACTCTACCTCCGCCAGGGAGGCCTCGGGTTCGATGTTGCCACGTGCACAGAACAAACGCCAACCACCTGGGAAAAAACACACACACAAGCAGCTGAACATATCGCTACTATGACAGATGTGCCAGTGCTCCCTAAATCCCAAATGGTCACACTTTAACGTAAAAGGACCTACTAGGTATTGAACTGCTGCTATATGTCATGACAACCCAAGTTCACTTTAACCTTCCCTTTAAATGGACCATTCGGGCATGAAACTGCTGATATATGTTACAATAGCACAAGTTCACTTTAACGTCCACTTAAAATGGTCCAGCCAGGCACTGAGTTGCTGCTTTGTGCCAATAATGGACGTCAAGTACCTCTCTTGTCGGCACTGTCCTTGCGGCTCCCTCTGTGGACGACCAGGCCTCCCTGGAAGAGCTGCAGGAAGGATGGAGGCTCCCTTCCCTGGGGAACAAGCACCTGGATTGGCGTAGAGAGAGAGAAGGGCATGGGTGTCTCACATCTGCCATTGCCTCAGGCTGCGGGAGGAACGACCTCCAGCCATGTCCCTGGAAAGTTCCCGTCAATGGTGATCGATCGTGAAGAGCCTGGACTTCGGGCGCGATCGACGCTGTTAGAGGGCACGCGGGAATCGGGACTTTAATCACAGCGGCTGGATGCGCGAACTGAAAGCAGAACTTAATTGCTGTCATCTGGCAGGGGGTAAATGGCAGCTGACGGGGTTTTAGTGCAGGAAGCCGTAGCCAGCAGGAGGGGATGTGGTAGGATGGGAAACATGAATATATCAAAAAACCAGCTGTGTGTGAGCAGGAAAATTATACCTGCCGACTGGTATGAGGCCTAGGAAACCATCAGGAATTATGCCTCTGCTGTGTGATCAGAGTGGCAACATGCTTACCGGCGCCCCCTTGTGGTTGTCTGTCTCCAAGTCTTTCGTCGCGTGACGGCCCCGCCACAGGAAGCAGGCGCCGTGCTCCGTCCCAAAAGCCCCACAGCTTGGGCCCCCTGTGGACAAACACTCATCAGTACACACACATACTGCATAGCCACACTCAAAAATCCACACACAAACAATACTAATGTGCACACAAACAGATACATACGGATTTAAATTTCCACATGCAGAAAAACACATACAGCCACAAACACATAAGTATATAACATATTAACAAAATACAATATTCTAATGTATAATCTTGGGTCCAGATCACACCCCCAAACCTTACCAGCACATGCCAGTTGTCACTCCTCCCAAAACCTGATGCTTGTTTTATTTTCCTACACGCTTCCCTTACGCAGAAGCACCTGTGTTTTCTGTCCCCTCCTGCCCACCGTAGGATTAAATCCTCGTCTCCACCCCCACAGCCAAACGTTCTGTCCGCCCCTCTCCATTTCCCTTGGTCCTGTCTGCTGTTAAAATACACGTGTGCAGTGCATCCATCCCGCAATTCGATACCTGCATCCAGGCAGGTGGCGAGCATCTCGACATTGACACGGGACGCCTCCCTGGAGGGTGGGACTCACCTTCCCTGGTGACGGAGCACCTCCGGCTGACCACGTAGGCGTCCCCCTCGTGGAGCTGAGCCACACCCTCGGGCAGCAGCAGCCGCTCGCCCGACTCCCCGACGTGCCAGACGTCTACAGGGTCCGCCTCCACCGGCAGGCCACACCCCCTGGCCTGCTGCCCACTCCCGGCTCCGCCCACCAGCAGGGCCTTTACGTCACAAGGCTGCAGCTCATCAGTCTGGCCGGTCTGGATGAGGGGGTTGGGGGCCGGGGAGGACGAGAAGGTATAAGGCGTCTCAGACTCACAACCTACTAACCGAACAGCACTTAACAGCACCTTATTATTATTCACAAATTACTTGCCTCACTTGGGCAAAAGCATCCACTACATAAACAAACAAATGTAAAAGGTCTTCACATATTTTAATTTTTTCCATATTTTTTCTTTGACAATCCAAGCCAGAGTGCACCTGGCCACCTAAAAGCCTGACACTCAGAAGGTCCCAGTCCCCAGCTTATGGAGGCAGCCGACCCAAAATCACACCTCCTCTTACCTCCTCCCCCGGGTCCTCCTCCACGCTGTCATTCTGCTCTGCCCAGTCCAGGAATTTCTCCCTGAAGAGAACTGTCTCGTGGTGCTCTATCAGGAGCCCAAACAGAGCCCAGCGGGGACGCCCCACACCCTGCCTGCAGAGAGACCGGACGCCACTTGGTATTCTCACTTAAAACCAGTAGTCATCACTAGTGATTATATCCCAGCCTGCCATTTCCAGGAATATTTGGCTGGAGTGTACTTCCACTCCACTAGGTGGCACTGTTACTCATTAAAAAAAAATAAAATGCCACGTACAAGGAACATATGGCACACAAAATATGGAATTCCAAGTTGAGGTGGGACAGATATGAAAATACATAAAAGCACTGCACACGCTTAACTACCTGTATAAGCAGGATGAAATTAACAAAACACATCCTAGAACATTGCTATTCTTTTGTAGCTCATCAAGTAGCGCATTGTGCCAACAGGTCGTGGGTTAAAATCCCGGGGAGTTTACTAAGCGTAACTTCTCTCTGTACTGTAAATTGCTTTGGATAAAAGCATCAAATAAATGAATGAATACAAAAGGTATGTATTGTGGATACACTTGAGTGACAGCTGGAATTGACCGACACACCCTTCTTTAAATACAGCAGGTGCACCTATATCTTAACCTCTCGCAGTTTCAGCATCATATGGGTCATTCTCACAAACTCAATACACAACATGCCAATTTTCTGTCTGAAGCTTGAAATTATACCTAATCAGTTTTATTGTATTGCCATTTATTTCTGTAATAAACAAAAGTATTTCACCAAATGCAGGGCAAGAGCTACGACAATAACAAAAAAAATACATATCATCATACAAATTTATTGTTTGTTGTGAGTTACGTGCAAAAAAGTTGAAAGATGAACGAACGTTTCATCTAGTTTTTGGTTATTTGACCTTAAAACTGTCACAGTAATGAGATTTCTCTGGAAAATGGTTAAAAAAATCATTCAACCAGAGCAACAAATGACTTTCAATATACCTATAGAGTTGAAGTGACATCAATTGTTCTACACGAGAAAACAAACATTGTATTTCATTGTAACTTTTTTTTTTCTCCTAAATGTCAGGTTTGTGAGAATGACCTGCATACAGTGAGGCTGGTGTGCATGGGAGAACCTCACCGTTGGATCCTCGGGCTGCAGTTTAGGGGGTCCAGTGGGTTGACTCTGCAGTTGCTGTAGTCATAGCCCCCCCCCCACACCTGCCTGCCCAGCTGCAGTGCCAGCTTCCGGTCACTCTGGAGGGCATCGCTGCCATGCCACACGTACAACTCGGTGCCAAAGTCAAACACGAGCACCTGGAAGCGGATTGAGGGGGTGTGATGACCAACACGGGGGGGGCATGGGGGCACACATCTGGGGGCACAGCAGCCTGGCAGTGCCAATGTGTCCTTAAAACTGTGTGCAACTTCACATAAAAACAAAATCAAATCAAATGCATTTGTCTGTATGTAATCATTCACACAGAAAACATATTACCGGATGAAATAGATTCAATGTAGTTATAGTTAGCTACTATATTAAAGCAGTAGCTTGGCTGTAGCTTAGTTACCTTTAATCATAAGTAGCTTGTAGCTTGAAAAGCTACCATTTAAAAGTAGAGTGCATCTGTGTGTGTGTGTGCATGCGTGTGCCTGACAAAGAGCATTATGGGAACGCAAGCAGAAGGGAGAGAGCCTCACCGCTGCGGAGCTGAGCAGGGACACGCTGGGCATGGAGGCCCAGGCCTCCTCCACAGGGACCAGCCGGTCCGTCACCAGACGGTACGCACAGTTGGACTCCACCACCCCGCTTTCGTAGGCCTCGTCCTCGTCTGGTTGGCCTGCGCCTGTGAGACACACACACACACGCACCCCATGGTCACACCAGGTCATGTATGGCACTTTATTTCTGCCAAAACAGGAGAAACCGTGCCTGAGAGACTGACCAATCATAAACAACCAATCAATAGTCAACCAATCACGTCGCTAGTTGCTGCTGTGAATATTTCTCCTGTTTTTGCGTGAATGACTTATGCAGTTATAGACACCAGCATCAAGTGAACGAATTTAAATGAATGAATAAATGCATATTTTGTTCCTGTCCCTATTAGCTGTCCTATATATCGACCTGTGTATGTAGGTGTATGGTATATATATGTGTCTGTTAGGTTTTCTGTGTCTTCTCTCACATCTATGTCAGAGTTTTGTTGCCACAGGATTAGGTCTCCAATAAAAGGAAGGAAAATGAAAGACGCCAGAAGGTGTCTCTCACCTCTGTACTCCACCCGGCCCCCCAGCAGGCTCCAAAACTCTGTGGCCAGGCTGCCGTCCGAGTCGCCCCCCTCCTCCAGGACAGTCACCTGGGGAGCCCGGCAGCCCAAGTCCCGCCTCGACAGCACATGGGATGCCATTTCCGAGGCCTGCACCATCCAAGAAACAGACAGGCCTGCTTATCCCGGCTACCAGAGGGCCTATGGTCCTCCGGAATCATGACAGGGTCTGGGGGGTGTTGAAGCTAATTTCCAACCCAGAACACCAGCTGAGGCCAGCCCCCAGCCAAATGACAACTTCAGTCAGGCAGCTAACAGAGAATGCCAAACTATTATTCCCTTTGTCTCCACGGGACTGGAGCTCCCCCTACAGGACATTAAACCTACAAATATTACACAGAGAGCAGACACTGAAAATGCACAGCATCTTCCATTATATCGACACATATTAAAATACAGCCTCTCCCCAGGTTACGATGGGGTTACGTTCCGATAAACCAATCATAAGGTGAAAATATCGTAAGGGCGAAAATGCATTTTAATACAGTACACATAACCTAACAAATATCATAGCATAGCCTAGCCTACCATAAACATGCTTAGAACACTTACATTAGCCTACGGCTGGGCAAAATGATTAACACAAAGCCTGTTTTATAATAAAGTGCTGAATACCCATCGTAAAGTCGAAATGTCGTAACATGTACCATCATAACCCGGGGAGCGTCCGTACATGTAAACCAAACGTGAAACGTGAGTGTTCACCAAAACAGGGTCCACGATTTAACGTGATGATAGCGTGAGATGACTCGAGCTAACAGGGATGTGAGAGGGGCCCATTGGTGTTGAGGTTGGGTGTGCTTTACCTTGCCTTTCTCGGCGACATTGGCAGACTTGCCGATCCATAGGTAGCACTGTGTAGGTGTCACAAGCAGAAAGCAATCGCCGCTGTTCAGGGTTCGAGCTGCCGGCTCTACTAGCCGCACCTGGACGTGCTGTCGCCCTGTCCGTCGTGAGCAACACATACTGTGAGTAGGAGCTTCAGGGTCAAGCTTGAACTCTGCTTCACATTATACACAGGCTCTGTCATCTCTCTGACCGTAATATGAGTGTTTAGCCTTGTTACTAAAACTACAATACCCAGCAGCCCCTGCATGAAATTTACCCATCACCCCCAAGGGTCACCTGATATCCAGGCAACACCCCATGGCCTCTGACCTTTTATGTGGATAAGCATTAGTTCACTGAATGGGAGGGTGCCGTTGCCGGTCTCTGCCTCAGTAGAGTTGGCTCTTTGTAGACTGATGTTGCAGAAGTTTTCCTCACCAGATAGGATTGCTAGTGATGACCGTGATGCTGGAAGGTTAAACAAAATCATTCTATCCAAAAACGTGCCTGAGAGACTGACCAATCATAAACGTCCAATCAATAGTCAACCAATCTATAGTCTGCTGATATTACCCACAGACATGCAGAATGTTAGTTTTTTATATAAAAGATCACTGGTTTAAGCCTCTGGACAGACATTACTGCTGTATCCTTTGACAAATTGCCAGAAATGCTTAACTAAGAAATATAATATATGATGCTATAATTGCTCGTCGAAGCACTCAAATGGGTAACAATAATAAGAAGAACAGATGGGTGCAGGATTTAATGAAAAATGTAAACTACACGTTGCAAATCAGTGCAAATAACTGCCAATTAATTAAATGCAAAACAGCACAGCAAGGCGGGCGCTTAAGCGCTCAGGAATCAGGGAGGAACAGATTACAGTTGACTGAGCCGTGAGAGCGGAGGAGGGAGAGGAGGTTGGGGTTGGGGTCCAGCTTCGAAGGCACTGGACCCCATATTCTTTTTGGTGATCATCCACAGACACAAGCAAGGCTGACAGACAGGTCACATGACCATGCACATTTAAATGTACTTTAATTTTAAATTATGAATTGCATGTGGTGCCATTCGTGTGATATGACATACGACTCACTGTTGTTCACTTGCACCCTCTCCGTGTCCAGGGTAACCGCGGTGATCCGCTGCTCCGTGTACTCCTGCCGGACGTCGTCCCGCGCTGCCAGAGCCCGCAGGGGGTTCCGGGACGCCTGGGTCTTCCGATTTGGACGCACGGAACGCTTGTGCTCCGCCACTGCAGATCTGAGTCTTCACACACACACACACACACACACACCAAGACACCAGTAAACAAATGACATATTGTGCCAGACATCAGGGTTGTCAGGGAAACACTGGCCCAGTAGGGCCACTGTGTCTCTATGCTTTGAAGTTAACTCTCTCTTTGGAAACGGATTTGCATCTGGAATCATCAGTGACACGGCTTTCTAGCCAATGCCTGACACAAGTGAATCCAAATGGGAAATTAAGAGATGAGGAAAATGATTTAGCAAATCCTCTGAAGTTTAATAGACCAGGGTTTCATAAATGGTGCAAAAAGTTCACTCTGATATGAAAGGTCAGTGGTTGGTCCTTGGTTATAAAGGTGTGGGTGAAGTACATTGACGCCACACAAGGAAGAGCATCAGTAATGATGTCGGATCAAGGCACAAGCAAAGTGTCCAGCACACAAACACAAACCTACAGGAAGAGCTGAAAAAATCAATCAGAGGACTGATACACCATAAGACCTTGACACAAGCCCAAATGTAGGGCAGTAGCATGTCCCTTCAAATCAAGGGTGAAAATCATAGGGCACAATCTACAGACATACTTTGGCGTGTCAGACTGAAAGATGGCACCAAAGTCTTGCTCGTTGCTGACAGAGACACTGGAGCTCATGGAGGAGGTGGTCACAGCACTGTAGAAGCAGCCAAAGGTCTCCTGACTGTCCAGAGTCATCACTTCCTTCACGGTCTCTGCAGTGACCTTGATAGAGGTCTCCAGGTGCCCAGTGGCTGATGGGAAGGGAAGGTGTTCAAGGGATTCCCATTGAATCTCAAGGGATCACCAATTGAATCTCAAGGGATCACCAATTGTATCTCAAGGGATTCCCACTGGATCTCAAGGGATCACCAATTGAATCTCAAGGGATTCCCACTGAATCTCAAGGGATTCCCATTGAATCTCAAGGGATCACCAATTGAATCTCAAGGGATTCCCATTGAATCTCAAGGGATCACCAATTGAATCTCAAGGGATCACCAATTGAATCTCAAGGGATCACCAATTGAATCTCAAGGGATC